CAGCAGTGAATCCATCTGGTCCTGGGCTTTTCTTTGTTGGGAGGCCTTTATTACTGTTTCAATTTCTGTCTCAGTTATGGGTCTGTTTAGGTTTTCGATGTCTTCCTGGTTCAATTTAGGCAGGTTGCATGTGTCCAGGAATCTATCCATTTCTGATAGGTTTCCCTGTTTGCTGGCATACAAGTCCTTGTAGTAATTTCTGATGATTCTTTTTATTTCTATGGTGTCTGTTGTTACATTTCCTTTTTCATCTCTGATTTTATTGATTTGGGTCTTTTCTTTTTTTCGTTAGTTGGTCCAATGGGGTTTCAATTCTGTTTATTTTTTCAAAAAACCAGCTCCTCGTTTGGCTGATTTTTTGTAATGTTTTTCTTGATTCAATCCTGTTGATTTCTTCTCTGATTTTAATTATTTCTCTTCTCCTACTAGATTTGGGTCTGGTTTGCTGTAGGTTTTCTAGATCCTTGAGGTGAATTGAAAGCTCATCTATTTGGTGCCTTTCCAATTTCTTGATATAGAAACCTATTGATACAAACTTTCCTCTTAACACTGCTTTTGCTGTATCCCATAAGTTTTGGTATGTTGTGCTGTTATCCTCATTTACTTCCAGAAAGTTTTTGATTTCTCTTTTGATTTCTTCTATGACCCATTGTTCATTCAGGAGCATGTTGTTCAATCTCCATGTGTTTGTGTATGCTCTAGGGATTCCTGAGTTGCTAATTTCCAACTTCATTCCTTTATGGTCTGAGAAGCTGCATGGTATGATTCTAATTCTTTTGAATTTGCTGAGACTTGCTTTATGGCCTAGTATGTGGTCAATCCTAGAGAAGGTTCCATGTACTGCTGAGAAGAATGTAAAATCTTTAGATGTAGGATGAAAAGTTCTGTAGATATCTGTTAGATCCATTTGGGCTATAGTGTCATTTAATCTACTGTATCCTTGTTGATCTTCTGTCCTATTGATCTGTCTCTTTCTGAGAGTGGAGTATTGAAGTCCCCAGTACTATTGTATTGGGGTCTAAGTCTCCCTTTAAGTCCGTTAATAAATCTTTTAGATAAACTGGTGCCCTGTAATTAGGTGCATATACATTGATAATCGTTATATCTTCCTGTTGAATTGATCCCTTAGTCATTATATAGTGTCCCTCTTTGTCTTTCCTAACAGTTTTTGTGGTACAGTTTATGTTGTCCGATATTAAGATGGCTACGCCCGCTCTTTTTTCATTTCTGTTGGCATGGTATATCTTTTTCCAGCCTTTCACTTTCAGTCTGTATGCATATTTGTTGGAAAGATGTGTTTCTTGTAAGCAGCAAATAGATGGGTTTTGTTCCTTAAGCCAGTCAGCCAATTGGTGTCTTTTAACTTACAGTTCAGGCCATTCACATTCAATGTCACTCATGATAAGTGGTAACTTTGCCCTGCCATTTGCCAAAGATATTTTCTAATATATGCTTTGAATTCCCTGTGATCTTTTGCTGTGAGGTTTCCTTCCTTTACCTTCTTTCATATTGATGACCGTGTTTCTGTGTTTCTGTGTGTAACACATCTTTAAGCATCTTTTGCAGGGCTGGACGAGTGGCGACAAATTCTTTCAATTTCTGTTTGCTATGAAAGGTCTTTATTTCACCTTCATTCACAAATGAGAGCTTTGCAGGATATAATATTCTGGGCTGGCAGTTTTTCTCTCTTAGTCCCTGGGCTATGTCTCGCCATTCCCTTCTAGCTTGTAGGGTTTCTGATGGGAAGTCTGCTGTGAGTCTAATTGGAGATCCTCTGAGAGTAATCTGACGTTTCTCTCTTGCACATTTTAGGATCTTTTCTTTATGTTTCACTGTGGAGAGTTTAATTACCACGTGTCGTGGTGAGGATCTCTTTTGGTCTTGTTTATTAGGGGTTCTATGAGCTTCCTGTACTAGGATGTCTCTGTCCTTCTCCAAACCTGGGAAATTTTCTGCTAATATCTCACTAAAAAGGCCTTCTAATCCTTTCTCCCTCTCCATGCCTTCAGGAACTCCTAGAATCTGAATGTTGGGTTTTTTAATAGTATCCTCTAGATTCCGCACAATATGTTTTAGATTTCTAATTTCCTCTTCTTTTCTTTGGTTTGACTGTATCCTTTCCTGTTCTCTGTCTTCTATGTCCAATATTCTCTCTTTTGCTTCACACATTCTGTTTTTAAGGCTCTCTAATGTGTTTGTCATTTGATCTATTGAATTCTTCATTTCATTATGATTTCTCGTCACTATCACAGTTTCCTGTTGTACTAGTTGTTTCGTTTCATTTTGATTCCTCCTTAATATTTCATTTTCATGAGAGAGATTTTCTATCTTGTCCATTAAGGATTTCTGTAGTTCAAGAATTTGTTTTTGAGAACTTCTTAATGTTCTTATCAATTTTTTGAGATCTGCTTCTTGCATTTCTTCTATCTCATCATCTTCATAATCTTGAATTGGGGTGTCTTTTTCATAGTGTCTTCCTTGTTCTTATTACCTTGTTTTTTGAATTTGTTGTTTAGCATATTGGAGATATTCTTTGGTTTCTTCACTGTGGTGTTTTTTCTTGTTATACTATGACTCTAGATTAAGTGGACTGTCTGTTTTTGATGGAGCCTTAGAGACTTGAGATGGGTGTGGCCTGAGAGCTCTGATTCCTTAGGGTTAAGGGTGTGCTAAAGGTGACACTCCCAGGTTAGGCGTGGTAAATCTCTTCCTTTCCTTCCCTCCTCTCCCCTCCCTTCCCTTCCCTCCCCTCCCCTCCCCTCCCTTCTCGTCCCTTCCCTTCTTTCCTCTCTTTCTTTCCCTTCCCTTTCCTTTCCGTTCCCTTCCTTCCCTTTCCCCTCCCTTCCTTTCCTTTCCTTTCCTTTCCCTTCCCCTTCCCCTTCCTTCCCCTTCCTTCCCCTTCCCCTTCCCCTTCCCCTTCCCCTTTCCCTCCCCCTCCCCTTTCCCTCCCCCTTCCCTTCCTTCCTTTTTTCTTTTTTTTTCCTTTTTTTTTTTTTTTTACAGGCAGAGTGGACAGTGAGAGAGAGAGACAAAGAGAAAGGTCTTCCTTTGCCGTTGGTTCACCCTCCAATGGCCACCGCGGCCGGCGCGCTGTGGCCGGCGCACCGCGCTGATCCGATGCCAGGAGCCAGGAGCCAGGTGCTTCCTCCTGGTCTCCCATGGGGTGCAGGGCCCCAAGCACCTGGGCCATCCCTCCACTGCACTCCCTGGCCCACAGCAGAGAGCTGGCCTGGAAGAGGGGCAACCGGGACAGAATCCGGCGCCCCGACCGGGACTAGAACCCGGTGTGCCGGCGCCGCTAGGCGGAGGATTAGCCTAGTGAGCCATGGCGCCGGCCCTTTTTCTTTTTCTTTTTCTTTTTCTTTCTTTTTCAAAAGGGAAGTAATTCCACACAGCTGAACAGAATTGGAGGTAGTGAGCAGGAAAATGATATACCCACAGGAGCCAGAGATCGGAAGCTCTTTCCCAAGGACCACACAGGGAATCTGTCCTGCCCTCAGTGTGGGCTCAAATTCTCCTGCAGTCTCCCACTGGGTTGCCAAGGTTACCGAATTGTAGAATCTCTGGAGAGTACTCACCTGAATTCCGTGAGTTCTCTCCCGCACCGTCTCTTTTTTTCACAGTCTCAGTTCAGTAGCACCACACATTCACTAGGTCCTAATCTCCTGTTAATTCACCCTCCTGTCCCCAGAGTCAGGTTTTTCTGCTAGGCTCAGGGCTGGTGCAGACCTGAGGTTGCCCTGCTTATGACGTATGTCCAAGATGGCGCCTGCTCTTTGTCTTGCTCGCCTTTGAGAAGTGAGCGGAGAGAGAGAAACTTGTGTCCGTATCGGTCACTTTTTTTTTTCTGTCTCTCTCTTCTAGTTAGCCTGGTGAACTTTTCCCCCATGGGGTCATTCCCTCTAGGCTCCTCTTTCCGCTTGCCTGCTGGTGTCTCGGGCTATTGAGGTTTGGCTCACCTCGCGTTCCAGCGCTGGTGTGTTGAGTCTGCCGCTGGTGTCCCAAACTGTGGGCTCCCATGCTCTCCACACAGGTCCACTGTGAATCACTAGTTCCAGAAGAGTTTCCTCTGCTGTTTCTTCCCCTACTCTTCCTTGAACCTGCAGTATCTCCACTTTTATTAAACTGTCTCTCCCTGGACTATCAGTGTGCTCCCTTCCTATTCTGCCATCTTGCCGCCAACTCCAATCAGGCCATCTTCTACTGTTTTCCCTAGGCCAATAGCAGAGAGCTAATGGGAAACGAACCAGGACACAAACCAGCACCCATGTGGGATGACCACATGTGGAGGCCTTACCTGCTATGCCACAATTGTCAGCCTCATTCACATGAATCTTTAATCAGTATGTTAAAAACTGTGCTCTCAGTAGCTAAAACTTGTAGGTTTCACTTTAATATCTATCTGCTATATTTTATAAGAGGTAAACTAAAATTTCAAAATAACAATGAATTATGTATATTGTTTTGCAGAGCCACATGTCCTATGTGTTAAAAAATTGGAAATATCCTCTGGACTTCGCTATAATCCAGATTTTTGTTTTCTTTTATTTTTTAAAAGATTTATTATATTTATTTGAAAGGCAGAGTTATAGAAAATAGGAGAGGACAGAGAGAGAAAGAGAGAGAGGGAGAGAGAGAGAGATCAATTTCCTTCCTCCACTGATTCACTCCCCAAATGGCCACAACGAACAGGCTGGACCAGGCAGGCTGAAGCCAGGAGCTACTTCTGGGTCTCATATGTAGGTGCAGGGGACCAAGCACTTGTGACATTTTCCGCTGCTTTCCCAGGTGCATTAGCAGGGAGCTGGATCAAAAGTGGGTCAGCTGGGACATGAACTGGCACCCATATGAGATGCTGGTGCTATAGTCAGTGGCATTAACCCACTATGCCACAACACAGGCTCCAATCCAGATTTTTAAAATTAATTCTTTGTCTTGATAGCTATAATATCTGATACTATTACCTAAATATTTGTAATCCTTTTTCCTGTTTTCTTTAGCTTGCCAGTGTAATGGACATAGCACTTGCATCAATAACAACGTGTGTGAACAGTGTAAAAATCTGACCACAGGAAAACAGTGTCAAGACTGCATGCCAGGTTATTATGGAGACCCAACCAATGGAGGACAGTGCACAGGTGAGCAATTGTATTTTGCTTCAGTGTCTTTTCACTAAGAAAAATAAAATTGAGAAAGGTCTGCTTGTTCTGAGAAACATATATCACTACAGAACTTTTTTTTTCCCATTCAGTTTCAATGTTTTGGAATGTAAGATATGTTTGTTAGGGACTCTGTGTATGTGATATATTTGTATTTAAAAAGATGTTTTGTTTCAAAATTTAGCAAATGCAGATACATGAAAAGAACAGTTACCTATAATCTCATTCAGAGTAATCATTGCTGAGTTTAATAGTAGGTTGTCAGTTTGACTTTAGAAATAAGAAATAATTTTCATGAAAACTGTATACTTTATATCAGGTGAGATTTATTTTTGTATAGTGTGGTGATATGACATAATGTTTAAGATAATTGATTTGTAATCATTCCTGAACTGAAATACCAACTCTGTCACTTTTTGAATGTATGATCTTGGCTAGTTCACCTAGCTTCTTAGAGCCTTATTTTCCTTAGAATTAAAATATCTCATTGGGTTGTTGTAAAGATCAAATGAGAGCATATATAAGATAGACCTTCAGAAATGAAGCACATAAAAAGTATTATAATTACTAACTATAGCCATCACACTTTTCATTCACTAAATCCTACATTCTGCTTCATATTTTTAATCTACTTTCTCTAAATGGAGATTGACTCTATAGCACCCACATTAAAACTTGAGTAATTGGCTAGTTGACTATGAGAAGATAAGGAATCACTACAGAGGGAGTGGAGCCTGAGCCTGGCCTAGATGTGCTTTTTTTTTGGGGGGGGGGGGTGTTGGTTCTTAGATATTTATTTTTTATTTTTATAATGTGAACAAACTTCATGTATTTCTATTTTTTTTTATTTTTATTTTTTTGACAGGCAGAGTGGACAGTGAGAGAGAGAGACAGAGAGAAAGGTCTTCCTTTGCCGTTGGTTTACCCTCCAGTGGCTGCTTTGGCCAGCGCGCTGCGGCTGGCGCACCTCGCTGATCCAATGGCAGGAGCCAGGTGCTTCTCCTGGTCTCCCATGGGGTGCAGGGCCCAAGCACTTGGGCCATCCTCCACTGCACTCCCTGGCCACAGCAGCGAGCTGGCCTGGAAGAGGGGCAACCGGGACAGAATCCGGTGCCCCGACTGGGACTAGAACCCGGTGTGCCGGCGCTGCAAGGCAGAGGATTAGCCTAGTGAGCCGCGGCGCCGGCCCATGTATTTCTCATATACAGACTTAAGAGCACAAAGGTACTTCTTACCCTGCCCTCCCTCCTGCCCGTGCTTCCACCTTCATTCTTCCTTCCTCTCTTGTTTATTTCTTTTAATTTTTATAATGACAAATCTTCTGTTTATTTTATAATCACAAGCTTAACCCTCTACCAAATAAAAGATTCAACAAAGAGTAAATAGAAAAACCACTGTCCACAAGTGTATAGACAAGTGCTGTAATAATAATCAAATCTAAAAATGTCAGTTTTGCTCATGTACATTACATTTTTGTACTCCATATATTAGTTGTGTCAAATCAGGGAAAACATGATATTTGTTTGGGACTAGCTTATTTCATTAAGCATAGTAGTTTCCATTTGTATCCATTTTGTTGCAATAGACAGGATATCATTCTTTTTAACAGTTGAGTAATATTCCATAGTGTATATATACCACATTTTCTTTATCCAGTTATCAGTTGATGGACACTTGAGTTAATTCCATATCTTAGTTATTGTGCATTGAGCTATAATAAATATGGGGATACAGATAACTCTTTCATTTGCTGATTTCATTTTGTTTGGGAAATGTCCAGGTGTGGGATGACTGAGTCATATGGTAGATCCATTTTCAGATTTCTGAGGAATCTCGATACTGTTTTCCATTATGGTTGCACTAGTTTGTATTCCCATAAAAAGTATATTAGGGTACCTTTTTCCCTACATGTTCACCAGCATTTATTGTTTTCTTTTTAATTTGTTTTCGATGATAGCCATTCTAACTGGGGTGAGGTAAAACCTCATTTTAGTTTTTACTTGCATTTACCTGATAGCTAGTGATCCTGAACATTTTTTCATATGTCTGTTGGCCATTTGAATTTCAACCTTTGAAAAATGCTGTTCAAGTCTTCTGCTCATTTCTTAACTGTATTTTTCATTTTGTTGTTCTTGAGTTTCTTGAGCTCTTTTTAGATTTTGGTTTTTAATCCTTTATCAGATGCATAGTTTGCTTTGAAACAGTAGCTGTATATTAGACTCTTCTGAAAACTTTTAAGAAAATATGAATGTCTAAGCCACTCCCTGAAACAAATCTTCATATGAGTTGGAGTTTTAGGGTAAATCTTGAAGTTGATTCTTTTTAAAGTTTTCAAGGTGACTCTACTGTGCACTTAGTGGTGAGGTCCATAGGTAGTTATGAACACATTCAATCTTTGTGTCAAAGAATTACTTAGGCAATAGTAGGTTTGTTGCTATCTGAGGACTCTGAATAAAATTTTGTGATATGGAGTGTTTTGTTTAAAGCTGTAATACAGATGAATGGTCTCAAATTTAGTATTTTGTGTGTTTTAGGTATAGTACTAATCAGCTTTCTATTTATTACCTCACATTAACTTCACAACTGTTGTGTTACGGATATTACTTTTATCTCCAGTTTACAAATGAACACAAATGTACAAGAGTGAAATAAAATACCCAAGGTAGTACAAGAAGTAAGGGAAGAAAATGATTGTTAGGCCTTGCTCTGAACTGTTCATGCGGAATTTATGTTAGTATGGATTGGGAAGACCTAGTAGTTGTTAGACCAAGGTTTTAGCTTAGTGCTAAGGTCAGTCATTATGCAAAGTACAGTAGTTATGGGTATTGGAGTAGTTATGGGTATTTAGACTCACCTATTGGAATCAGATTGTGTATTTTTTATTGAATAAAATGTCAAAGTTTTGTAGTCATCCTGCTTTTTGAAGTGTTTTGCTACTGAATTTTCTGTAGCCAAAAATATATTTGGAGAAAAAATATATTTCATATAGTTTATTTGTATTTTTAATGTATTATTTCTATAATTTTAGGGATAGTATAACACTGAGGTGTTTTATTCACTTTACCATTTGCATGTCTCTGTAAACTCATGTCTTTAATATATAATTACATATTTTTTTATTTTCATGAAATAGTTTCATACATACTTTTTGACTTATTTAGATACCAATATTTAATAGTTCACCATGTTTTTGTTCTGCAATCTAATATATTTCTGTTGATGTTTATATAATTCCTCTAACCATACCTCAGTTATAGGGTATTATTTTTTATTTATGAAGAAATACATGTGATAAAACTTAACTTAGTGGCATCTAGCATATTCAAAATATTATGCAACCATTACCTATATCTAATTCCTAAACATTTTTGTCACCTAAAAAGGAAATAACATACTCATTAAGCAGTAGCTTGCAGCCCCTGGCTATTAGTAATCTGTTTTATGTCTTTATGAAGTTACTATTTCTGAATATTTCAAATGAATAGAATCATATAATATGTGACCTGCTGTGACTGGCTTCTTTCCCTTAGCATAATGGTTTTGATGTTCATTCTCAGTGTACTATGTATGAGTACTTCATTAATTTTTATGACTGAATAGTGTTCTGTCATGTATCTAAAGCACTATTTTTTCATTGATGAAATTTGGATGCTTTGGACCTCTATAATATTGCTATGCAAGTTTTTCAATGCTTTTCAGTTTTTTTATATATACTTATGAATGGAATGGATGAATTATGTGGTTATTCCATGTTTAACTTTTTGAAGCATTGCCAAGTTGTTTTCTATAGTGGCTGTGCCATTTTACATTCTTAGCAGCAATCTAGAGGATTCCAGTTTCTCCATTTCATTTCCAGCACTTATTTTTCGTTTTGTTTAATTTTAGCCATCCTAGGGGGTATGAGTTTATAGTATCATTCAATTTTGATTTGCATTTCCATAATAATTAAATCATGCTGAGTAGCATTTCATGTGTATTCTTACTATTATATATTGTCTCAGGAGAAATGTCTATTCAAATCATTTGTCTATTAAAATTATTTTTAACATTGTGATATTATAGATATCACATAAAATTTACTGTTTTTAACATCTAAAAATATAGTTTAATGACATTAAGTACCTTCACGTTGTTGTGTAACTGTCATCACCAACCCTCTCCAAAATCTTTTTCATTTGCAAAACTGAAGCCCTGTATCCACATTTGCCACCGTTTCTCCCAGCCCATGGCAACCACCATTCTTCTTTCCATCTCTGTGAATTTGACTACAGTAAGGATTTTATGTGAGTGAAATTATGCTTTCAGGGTTCATTCATGTTTAGCATGTGTCAGAATACTTTTAGTTTTTAAGGCCAAATAATATTCCTTTGTATTTATATACACTTTTTATTTATTCATTCACCTGTACTGTAGATAGACATGAATTGCTTTTACCACATGGCTATCATGAATAATGCTGTTGTGAGTATGCCAGTGCAAATGTCTGATCAAATGTCTCCATTTTTCATCTGCTTATTGGCCATTTGTCTATCTTTTTGGAGAAGTATCTATTTAAATCTTTTGCCCATTTTTTAAATTTAGTTGTTTTCATTTATTTATTTTTGGCTATTCAGTTGTAGTGTTCTAAATACTAGACCCTTATAAGACACATGATTTTTTTTTCAAGATTTATTTATTTATTTGAAAGGCAGAGTTACAGAGAAGCAGAGGCAGAGAGAGAGAAAGGTCTTCCATCCACTGGTTCACTCCCCAAATGGTTGCAACAGCCAGAGCTGGGCAGATCTGAAGCCAGGAGCCAGGAGCTTTTCTCAGGTCTCCCACAAGGGGCCAGGGGCCCAAGGACCCTGGACCATCTTCCACTGCCTTCCCAGGCCATAGCTGAGAGCTAGATTGGAAATGGAGCAGCTGGGACTCAAACTGGCACCCATATGGGAATGTTGACACTGCAGGAGATGGCTTTACTCACCCACTGCGCCACA